GAACAAACCCCACAAATGAACACTGAACAACCCCCCCACAAATGAACACTGAACAACCCCCACAAATGAACACTGAACAACCCCCCCACAATGAACACTGAACAACCCCCACAAATGAACACTGAACAACCCCCCACAAATGAACACTGAACAACCCCACAAATGAACACTGAACAACCCCCACAAATGAACACTGAACAACCCCCACAAATGAACACTGAACAACCCCCACAAATGAACACTGAACAACCCCACAAATGAACACTGAACAAACCCCCACAACTGAACACTGAACAACCCCCACAAATGAACACTGAACAACCCCCCCCCCCCCACAACAATACCTATATTCCCAGGCCAACAATTACATCTCTGCTTCAACAATAGATGCCACACGCTAACACCAACAGCCTGGTCGACCACAATAGACAATTCACGAAACAAAACGCCAGTCTATTGATCGAAATAATCGATCCTGGTCTATTCAGGTCAGAGAATCCAGTTTCCCCCGAGTGAATTGGCAGGAGGACAAGCAGACTGTTTGAGTTGGCAGACTGCATGTGTTTCTGTAACAGTGAACTTAAGATCATATGATAGATTCTATTATATCTGCTGCTATTGGTCCATACGGGGCAGCTGCTATTGGTCCATACGAGGCAGCTGCTATTGGTCCATACGAGGCAGCTGCTATTGGTCCATACGAGGCAGCTGCTATTGGTCCATACCCAAACAAAATGCTTCATGACGTCAAAAGCCGAGCGATGACGTCACGAGCCGAGCAGTGACGTCACGACCCGATCAGTGACGTCACAAGCGAGAGCGCCGCCTTCCCAGCTGGGCGTGAGGAAGCGAGTCACGCGACCGACTCCCTCCCTTCCAAGCTCCCTCAAGCCCCGCCCCCGTGATGCCCCCCGCCTTCTGATTGGCCGGAACCATCTATGCCGTCAGTGGCGCCGTGCTGCTGATTGGTCCGAACCATTTTTGACTTCAGTAGCGACCGGCTCCCCGCCGCGATCGGTTGATGGTTCGTTCCTCGAGCCCTACTTATATATTTTTTTGCTAGGGAATGATAAAGTTTGGGCCATTAAGGGTTAATGGGAGGCCTGGTCGTTAAGGGACGCCGGTCGCTGTAAAAGGGGGCCGGTAATGGACCGGATAGAGCAGGAGGGAAATATTGGAGACTATTTATTTTATGAGGAAAAATCTTTTTGAATCAGCTCTCTCTCTCTCTCTCTCTCTCTCTCTCTCTCTCTCTCTCTCTCTCTCTCTCTCTCTCTCTCTCTCTCTCTCTCTCTCTCTCTCTCTCTCTCTCTCTCTCTCTCTCTCTCTCTCTCTCTCTCTCTCTCTCTCTCTCTCTCTCTCTCTCTCTCTCTCTCTCTCTCTCTCTCTCTCTCTCTCTCTCTCTCTCTCTCTCTCTCTCTCTGTCTCTCTCTCTCTCTCTCTCTCTCTCTCTCTCTCTCTCTCTGTCTCTCTCTCTCTCTCTCTCTCTCTCTCTCTCTGTCTCTCTCTCTCTCTGTCTCTCTCTCTCTCTCCTCTCTCTCTCTCTCTCTCTCTCTCTCTCTCTCTCTCTCTCTCTCTCTCTCTCTCTGTCTCTCTCTCTCTCTCTCTCTCTCTCTCTCTCTCTCTCTCTCTCTCTCTCTCTCTCTCTCTCTCTCTCTCTCTCTCTCTCTCTCTCTCTCTCTCTCTCTCTGTCTCTCTCTCTCTCTCTCTCTCTCTCTCTCTCTCTCTCTCTCTCTCTCTGTCTCTCTCTCTCTCTCTCTCTCTCCCTCTGTCTCTCTCTCTCTGTCTCTCTCTGTCTCTCTCTCTCTCTGTCTCTCTCTCTCCAGAGGTTGATAGGCCTTAATAACCCTCCAGAAGTTATTAGGCCTACAGGAAACATGTCACCCTTGACAGCTCGGCTCATTCCTGTCACCCTTGACAGCTTAGCTCATTCCTGTCACTCTTGACAGCTCAGCTCATTTATGTCACCCTTGACAGCTCAGCTCATTCCTATCACCCTTGACAGCTCGGCTCATTCATGCCTAACAGCCTCCGCCAACAACTTCCTCGGGGAAATCTTCCCACAGGCTTGACCGACAGATGTCAAGCTTGACAGCTGTCAACCGCTCCCCCACCTCTTGACAACAGTGCATCGTATTTTTTTTCCCAGGTGAAGGAAGATCAACTATTTCAGCCCTTCGTTCTTCCTGGGAAAAAAAAATCCCAGTGGAGAGCGAAATGTTCCGAGACTCGCCCGAAACAGCGTTCAATTCTACACTATGACGTCCTAGGGGATGAAACGACGAAGCAATTTGAAACAGCGATAAGTGAGAGAAGTGTTTTATGAGTAATCAAGGCCTCACAGGGGTGAAATTTCTCCCCCGTGAACTCATTAATGAGTTGACCGTGGGAGCTTTAAGCTGACAGGGAGATGTGGGGAGTATGTGCTTTGTGTTGTGAGTAGTGTGTGAGGGAGGAGGCTTACCTGTGAGGGTTATGAGTGAGGGAACTACCTGTAACTACCGTCTTAACTACCTGTAACTACCGTCTTAACTACCTGTAACTACCGTCTTAACTACCTGTAACTACCGTCTTAACTACCTGTAACTACCGTCTTAACTACCTGTAACTACCGTCTTAACTACCTGTAACTACCGTCTTAACTACCCGTAACTACCATCTTAACTACCCGTAACTACCGTCTTAACTACCATCTTAACTACCCGTAACTACCATCTTAACCACCCATAACTACCGTCTTAACTACCCGTAACTACCGTCTTAACTACCTGTAACTACCGTCTTAACTACCTGTAACTACCGTCTTAACTACCTGTAACTACCGTCTTAACTACCGTCTTAACTACCCGTAACTACCATCTTAACTACCCGTAACTAAACACCTTAACTATCTGTAACCACCATCTTAACTACCCGTAACTAAACACCTTAACTATCTGTAACCACCATCTTAACTACTTTTTTAACTTACAACTCAACAACTTTCTCTTAATACCCCCCCCCCTCTAGTGATTTTGAAGTGGGGGCTCCAGCTCTTGGGCTCCGCCTCTCCGCACGTATATACTTCAACAGGGGGGATATATGCTGAGTCAGTTATATGTGTATAATTATTATATGCTGTCAAAACACCTGAATATCATACCAAACACCTGTCAATCACATATTGGTACTCCCCGCCTGTCAATCACATATTGGTACTCCCCAGCTGTCAATGACATATTGGTACTCCCCGCCTGTCAATCACATATTGGTACTCCCTAGCTGTCAATGACATATTGGTACTCCCCGCCTGTCAATCACATATTGGTACTCCCTAGCTGTCAATCACATATTGGTACTCCCTGCCTGTCAATCACATATTGGTACTCCCTAGCTGTCAATCACATATTGGTACTCCCCGCCTGTCAATCACATATTGGTACTCCCTAGCTGTCAATCACATATTGGTACTCCCCGCCTGTCAATCACATATTGGTACTCCCCGCCTGTCAATCACATATTGGTACTCCCTAGCTGTCAATCACATATTGGTACTCCCCGCCTGTCAATCACATATTGGTACTCCCTAGCTGTCAATCACATATTGGTACTCCCCGCCTGTCAATCACATATTGGTACTCCCTAGCTGTCAATCACATATTGGTACTCCCTGCCTGTCAATCACATATTGGTACTCCCCGGCTGTCAATCACACATTGGTACTCCCCAGCTGTCAATCACATATTGGTACTCCCCGGCTGTCAATCACATATTGGTACTCCCTGCCTGTCAATCACATATTGGTACTCCCCGGCTGACAATCACATATTGGTACTCCCCGCCTGTCAATCACATATTGGTACTCCCTGCCTGTCAATCACATATTGGTACTCCCCGGCTGTCAATCACATATTGGTACTCCCCAGCTGTCAATCACATATTGGTACTCCCTGCCTGTCAATCACATATTGGTACTCCCCGCCTGTCAATCACATATTGGTACTCCCTGCCTGTCAATCACATATTGGTACTCCCCGGCTGTCAATCACATATTGGTACTCCCCAGCTGTCAATCACATATTGGTACTCCCCGCCTGTCAATCATCGCATAGTTCTTCTGTCAGTCACAGGTAATTACCCAAAGGAGTAATTACAGTGATTAATCAACAGGTAATTGAGCCCTTGACTCATTATGGAGATGATGAGTGCTACAATGACCAGCTGGCTCGTTACCAGGAGCGGCTGCTCATTGTAGTCATTGTAGTACATAGTCGTGTGAAGTTACCTAGCTTTATAATGAGGCTTTGTAATGAAGCTTTATAATGAGGCTTTATAATGAGGCTTTATAATAAAGCTTTATAATGAGGCTTTATAATGAGGCTTTATAATGAAGCTTTATAATGAGGCTTTATAATGAGGCTTTATAATAAAGCTTTATAATGAGGCTTTATAATGAGGCTTTATAATAAAGCTTTATAATAAAGCTTTATAATGAAGCTTTATAATGAAGCTTTATTATGGAGCTTTATAATGAGGCTTTATAATGAAGCTTTATAAAGCCAAGCTTTATAATGAAGCTTTATAAGCTTTAAAATGAAGCTTTATAAGCTTTAAAATGAAGCTTTATAAGCTTTATAATGAAGCTTTATAATAAAGCTTTATAATGAAGCTTTATAATAAAGCTTTATAATGAAGCTTTATAATGAAGCTTTATAAAGCCAAGCTTTATAATGAAGCTTTATAAGGAAGCTTTATAATAAAGCTTTATAATGAAGCTTTATAATGAAGCTTTATAAAGCCAAGCTTTATAATGAAGCTTTATAAGGAAGCTTTATAATAAAGCTTTATAATGAAGCTTTATAATGAAGCTTTATAAAGCCAAGCTTTATAATGAGGCTTTATAATAAAGCTTGACTTTACAATAAATCTCACCAAGACAACATTACTATTAATAAAGCTGACACGTCACACACTGAAGTAAATAAACACTTCAAAAATATATATATATAATAAAAACAAAGTTTATCTGTAAATTCATTTATTGACTGGCGTGTGTCTAGAGGATTGTTGCTCTTGTTCAAGTGAACATTTTGGGTGAACATGTTCAGTGTTCACAGTAATATGTAGAGTGAAGGCACATATATGTGCTACATATAATGAGATTTTATATCATTAACAATATAATTCTCTGTTAATTTGTTATTGTTCATTTATATATTATATTCGGATTAAACAAGTGAATATGAACATTTTATATATAACTTTTGTTGTATAAATTTGGTGAACATATTCAAGTAGATATTTTGATGTTGTTAAATCATAGAGATATTAAATGTGTGTTAATTTATGTGAAATTAACGTCAGCACGTTTTTTCACAGCTATAAATAATTGTCATTGACCCACACGTGGTCTTGTTTACAAACATGTCACCACTAACACGTGGTCTTGTTTACAAACATGTCACCACTAACACGTGGTCTTGTTTACAAACATGTCACCACTAACACGTGGTCTTGTTTACAAACATGTCACCACTAACACGTGGTCTTGTTTACAAACATGTCACCACTAACACGTGGTCTTGTTTACAAACATGTCACCACTAACACGTGGTCTTGTTTACAAACATGTCACCACTAACACGTGGTCTTGTTTACAAACATGTCACCACTAACATGTGGTCTTGTTTACAAACATGTCACCACTAACACGTGGTCTTGTTTACAAACATGTCACCACTAACATGTGGTCTTGTTTACAAACATGTCACCACTAACACGTGGTCTTGTTTACAAACATGTCACCACTAACACGTGGTCTTGTTTACAAACATGTCACCACTAACACGTGATCTTGTTTACAAACATGTCACCACTAACATGTGGTCTTGTTTACAAACATGTCACCACTAACACGTGGTCTTGTTTACAAACATGTCACCACTAACATGTGGTCTTGTTTACAAACATGTCACCACTAACACGTGGTCTTGTTTACAAACATGTCACCACTAACATGTGGTCTTGTTTACAAACATGTCACCACTAACACGTGGTCTTGTTTACAAACATGTCACCACTAACATGTGGTCTTGTTTACAAACATGTCACCACTAACACGTGGTCTTGTTTACAAACATGTCACCACTAACACGTGGTCTTGTTTACAAACATGTCACCACTAACACGTGATCTTGTTTACAAACATACGTCACCGTCCACGTGGTCTTGTTTACAAACACACGTCACCGTCCACGTGGTCTTGTTTACAAACACACGTCACCGTCCACGTGGTCTTGTTTACAAACACACGTCACTGTCCACGTGGTCTTGTTTACAAACACACGTCACCGTCCACGTGGTCTTGTTTACAAACACACGTCACCGTCCACGTGGTCTTGTTTACAAACACACGTCACTGTCCACGTGGTCTTGTTTACAAACACACGTCACCGTCCACGTGGTCTTGTTTACAAACACACGTCACCGTCCACGTGGTCTTGTTTACAAACACACGTCACCAACCACGTGGTGAAGTGACAGGTGCCTGACAGGCCCGTCAAGTGTCAAGTCAGTGTCATGTCAAGTCAGGCGGTGACAGGTTGCAAGGACGGAAAAAATCCATGTCAAAATTACCATCAATTACCAATTAAAACCATCAATTATCATCACCTCGTGTCTGAGAAGTTGATCCTAGTTAGACCCGATTGAAGAGCTTCTCATAGGAACGATTAGTTTGTACTTAGCATCAGTGGTACTTAAAGATAAGTAGCTTTAAAGTGGACTGATAATTTTGCTAATATATATATTACTCAGTTTTACTTATAAATATATATAAATATGGTGTTTTTAAAGTATTCTGATGGGTAAGAGGTAAGGAAGGGGAGTGTAGGGAGGTAAGGAAGGGGGTGTAGGGAGGTAAGGAAGGGGGTGTAGGGAGGTAAGGAAGGGGGTGTAGGGAGGTAAGGAAGGGGGTGTAGGGAGGTAAAGAAGGGGGTGTAGGGAGGTAAGGAAGGGGGTGTAGGGAGGTAAAGAAGGGGGTGTAGGAAGGTAAGGAAGGTGGTGTAGGGAGGTAAGGAAGGGGAGTGTAGGGAGGTTAGGGAAAGGTGTGTAGGAAGAAAGTGTGTAAATATTGAGGAATATTTTAATCACTGATAACTTCATTGAAGAACAATGTTCTTCAGCCCTGAAGAACACATGAGGAGACACTGTACACCGTCAGGACTTAAGTACTGTGTACTGTGTACCTCCTCAGAGGTGTGGCTGACTGGGTGTAGGCCTACTGTGAGTAGAGGATCTGACTGAATTGTCAAATGATCACTTCGAGGTTGACTTTAGGCCAAAACAGTCAGATATATGTAGTTTGTCCGTCTAAAACAGGCCTGGCACCCCCATGGGTAGGCCTGGCACCCCATGAAGGTAGGCCTATCACCTAAAAACCACCAAAACCATCTCTTAGACATTAAGGCAGCGAAGTTTCTTAGGGGGTAACTGAGCAGAATACTGAAAGGTATCTCGTCTCTCCTCCACCGCCTGGGCCTCCGGAAGTTGACCTGCTCTTCTAGGAGGACCTCCTGCTCTATTAGGAGGACCTCCTGCTCTATTAGGAGGACCTCCTGCTCCATTAGGAAGACCTCCTTGAGGTTGCTGACCCTCGCCCATCAGGGACTTGAGGCACAGGTTCTTCTCCTTGATGCGAATCCGCACAAGCTGTTCCAGCGTAGCTAGGTGGGCGTCGTAACCCTCGGGCACCTTCTCCTGCATGAACTCCGCCAAGCGCAGCAGGTACTCTACATTGTGACCTGCGGGGCACACACACATAGGTCAGCACTCAAGGTCAAAGGTCAAACTCGAACTAAAGTCATAAGTTTGACCTCTGAGAGGGGAAAAATTATTCAAGATCTTAATACTGTTTTTCAATCAAATAATTAACATAAATTTGATTATATATTCATTAATTATTTTTATTAAAGGAGGTAAGGAATGGGGTGTAGGGTGACCAAGAATGGGGTGTAGGGGACAAGAATGGGGTGTAGGGTGACAAGAATGGGGTGTAGGGGACAAGAATGGGGTGTAGGGACAAGAATGGGGTGTAGGGTGACAAGAATGGGGTGTAGGGGGACAAGAATGGGGTGTAGGGTGACAAGAATGGGGTGTAGGGGGATAAGAATGGGGTGTTGGGACAAGAATGGGGTGTTGGGACAAGAATGGGGTGTAGGGGACAAGAATGGGGTGTTGGGACAAGAATGGGGTGTAGGGGACAAGAATGGGGTGTTGGGACAAGAATGGGGTGTAGGGAGATAAGAATGGGGTGTAGGGGGACAAGAATGGGGTGTAGGGGACAAGAATGGGGTGTAGGGGACAAGAATGGGGTGTAGGGTGACAAGAATGGGGTGTAGGGGGACAAGAATGGGGTGTAGGGTGACAAGAATGGGGTGTAGGGGGACAAGAATGGGGTGTAGGGTGACAAGAATGGGGTGTAGGGGGACAAGAATGGGGTGTAGGGAGATAAGAATGGGGTGTAGGGGGACAAGAATGGGGTGTAGGGAAAAGAATGGGGTGTAGGGTGACAAGAATGGGGTGTAGGGGTCAAGAATGGGGTGTAGGGTGACAAGAATGGGGTGTAGGGGGATAAGAATGGGGTGTTGGGACAAGAATGGGGTGTAGGGGACAAGAATGGGGTGTAGGGGACAAGAATGGGGTGTAGGGGGACAATAATGGGGTGTAGGGGGACAAGAATGGGGTGTAGGATACAAGAATGGGGTGTAGGGGACAAGAATGGGGTGTAGGGTGATAAGAATGGGGTGTAGGGTGACAAGAATGGGGTGTAGGGAGATAATAATGGGGTGTAGGGTGACAAGAATGGGGTGTAGGGGACACAAGAATGGGGTGTAGGGGGAACAAGAATGGGGTGTAGGGGACAAGAATAGGTTGTAGGGTGACAAGAATGGGGTGTAGGGAGATAAGAATGGGGTGTAGGGTGGCAAGAATGGGGTGTAGGGTGATAAAAATGGGGTGTAGGGGGACAAGAATGGGGTGTAGGGACAAGAATGGGGTGTAGGGGACAAGAATGGGGTAAAGGGTGACAAGAATGGGGTGTAGGGAGACAAGAATGGGGTGTAGGGAAAAGAATGGGGTGTAGGGGACAAGAATGGGGTGTAGGGGACAATAATGGGGTGTAGGGAAAAGAATGGGGTGTAGGGGACAAGAATGGGGTGTAGGGAAAAGAATGGGGTGTAGGGGACAAGAATGGGGTGTAGGGAAAAGAATGGGGTGTAGGGGACAAGAATGGGGTGTAGGGGACAAGAATGGGGTAAAGGGTGACAAGAATGGGGTGTAGGGAGACAAGAATGGGGTGTAGGGAAAAGAATGGGGTGTAGGGGACAAGAATGGGGTGTAGGGGACAAGAATGGGGTGTAGGGGACAAGAATGGGGTGTAGGGGAACAAGAATGGGGTGTAGGGACAAGAATGGGGTGTAGAGGACAAGAATGGGGTGTAGGGAGATAAGAATGGGGTGTAGGGAGGCAAGAATGGGGTGTAGGGTGACAAGAATGGGGTGTAGGGGACAAGAATGGGGTGTAGGATACAAGAATGGGGTGTAGGATACAAGAATGGGGTGTAGGATACAAGAATGGGGTGTAGGGGACAAGAATGGGGTGTACGATACAAGAATGGGGTGTAGGGGACAAGAATGGGGTGTAGGGGACAAGAATGGGGTGTAGGATACAAGAATGGGGTGTAGGGGACAAGAATGGGGTGTAGGGGACAAGGATGGGGTGTAGGGGACAAGAATGGGGTGTAGGGTGATAAGAATGGGGTGTAGGGTGACAAGAATGGGGTGTAGGGAGATAATAATGGGGTGTAGGGTGACAAGAATGGGGTGTAGGGGACACAAGAATGGGGTGTAGGGGGAACAAGAATGGGGTGTAGGGGACAAGAATAGGTTGTAGGGTGACAAGAATGGGGTGTAGGGAGATAAGAATGGGGTGTAGGGAGGCAAGAATGGGGTGTAGGGTGATAAAAATGGGGTGTAGGGGGACAAGAATGGGGTGTAGGGACAAGAATGGGGTGTAGGGGACAAGAATGGGGTAAAGGGTGACAAGAATGGGGTGTAGGGAGACAAGAATGGGGTGTAGGGAAAAGAATGGGGTGTAGGGGACAAGAATGGGGTGTAGGGGACAAGAATGGGGTGTAGGGAAAAGAATGGGGTGTAGGGGACAAGAATGGGGTGTAGGGAAAAGAATGGGTGTAGGGACAAGAATGGGGTGTAGGGAAAAGAATGGGGTGTAGGGGACAAGAATGGGGTGTAGGGGACAAGAATGGGGTAAAGGGTGACAAGAATGGGGTGTAGGGAGACAAGAATGGGGTGTAGGGAAAAGAATGGGGTGTAGGGGACAAGAATGGGGTGTAGGGGACAAGAATGGGGTGTAGGGACAAGAATGGGGTGTAGGGGAACAAGAATGGGGTGTAGGGGACAAGAATGGGGTGTAGGGACAAGAATGGGGTGTAGAGGACAAGAATGGGGTGTAGGGAGATAAGAATGGGGTGTAGGGAGGCAAGAATGGGGTGTAGGGTGACAAGAATGGGGTGTAGGGGACAAGAATGGGGTGTAGGATACAAGAATGGGGTGTAGGATACAAGAATGGGGTGTAGGATACAAGAATGGGGTGTAGGGGACAAGAATGGGGTGTACGATACAAGAATGGGGTGTAGGGACAAGAATGGGGTGTAGGGGACAAGAATGGGGTGTAGGATACAAGAATGGGGTGTAGGGGACAAGAATGGGGTGTAGGGGACAAGAATGGGGTGTAGGGGACAAGAATGGTGTGTAGGGGGATAAGAATGGGGTGTAGGGGACAAGAATGGGGTGTAGGGGACAAGAATGGGGTGTAGGGTGACAAGAATGGGGTGTAGGGGACAAGAATGGGGTGTAGGGTGACAAGAATGGGGTGTAGGGGACAAGAATGGGGTGTAGGGTGAAGAGAATGGGGTGTAGGGACAAGAATGGGGTGTAGGGACAAGAATGGGGTGTAGGGGACAAGAATGGGGTGTAGGGGACAAGAATGGGGTAAAGGGTGACAAGAATGGGGTGTAGGGAACAAGAACGGGGTGTAGGGGACAAGAATGGGGTGTAGGGGACAAGAATGGGGTGTAGGGGACAAGAATGGGGTGTAGGGGGACAAGAATGGTGTGTAGGGAGATAAGAATTTGGTGTAGGGTGACAAGAATGGGGTGTAGGGGACAAGAATGGGGTGTAGGGGACAAGAATGGGGTGTAGGGGTGACAAGAATGGGGTGTAGGGGACAAGAATGGGGTGTAGGGAGATAATAATGGGGTGTAGGGAGATAAGAATGGGGTGTAGGGGACACAAGAATGGGGTGTAGGGGACAAGAATGGGGTGTAGGGTACAAGAATTGGGTGTAGGGGACACAAGAATGGGGTGTAGGGGACAAGAATGGGGTGTAGGGGTGACAAGAATGGGGTGTAGGGGACAAGAATGGGGTGTAGGGACAAGAATGGGGTGTAGGGTGACAAGAATGGGGTGTAGGGGGACAAGAATGGGGTGTAGGGGGACAAGAATGGGGTGTAGGGTGACAAGAATGGGGTGTAGGGAGATAATAATGGGGTGTAGGGAGATAAGAATGGGGTGTAGGGGACAAGAATGGGGTGTAGGGGGACAAGAATGGGGTGTAGGGTGACAAGAATGGGGTGTAGGGTGATAAGAATGGGGTGTAGGGTGACAAGAATGGGGTGTAGGGAGATAATAATGGGGTGTAGGATACAAGAATGGGGTATAGGGGACAAGAATGGGGTGTAGGGTACAAGAATGGGTGTAGGGTGACAAGAATGGGGTGTAGGACAAGAATGGGGTGTAGGGGACAAGAATGGGGTGTAGGGGGACAAGAATGGGTGTAGGGGACAAGAATGGGGTGTAGGGAGATAATAATGGGGTGTAGGATACAAGAATGGGGTGTAGGACAAGAATGGGGTGTAGGGGTCAAGAATGGGGTGTAGGGGGACAAGAATGGGGTGTAGGGGGACAAGAATGGGGTGTAGGGGACAAGAATGGGGTGTAGGGGACAAGAATGGGGTGTAGGGGGACAAGAATGGGGTGTAGGGGACAAGAATGGGGTGTAGGGGACAAGAATGGGGTGTAGGGGACAAGAATGGGGTGTAGGGTGACAAGAATGGGGTGTAGGGGTGACAAGAATGGGGTGTAGGCGACAAGAATGGGGTGTAGGGTGACAAGAATGGGGTGTAGGGTGACAAGAATGGGGTGTAGGGTGACAAGAATGGGGTGTAGGGGACAAGAATGGGGTGTAGGGGACAAGAATGGGGTGTGGGGGACAAGAATGGGGTGTAGGGGGGACAAGAATGGGGTGTAGGGGACAAGAATGGGGTGTAGGGGACAAGAATGGGGTGTAGGGGGACAAGAATGAGGTGTAGGGAGATAATAATGGGGTGTAGGATACAAGAATGGGGTGTAGGGGACAAGAATGGGGTGTAGGGTGACAAGAATGGGGTGTAGGGAGATAATAATGGGGTGTAGGATACAAGAATGGGGTGTAGGATACAAGAATGGGGTGTAGGGGACAAGAATGGGGTGTAGGGTGACAAGAATGGGGTGTAGGACAAGAATGGGGTGTAGGGACAAGAATGGGGTGTAGGGTGACAAGAATGGGGTGTAGGGTACAAGAATGGGGTGTAGGGGACAAGAATGGGTGTAGGATACAAGAATGGGGTGTAGGGGACAAGAATGGGGTGTAGGGGGCCAAGAATGGGGTGTAGGGACAAGAATGGGGTGTAGGATACAAGAATGGGGTGTAGGGACACAAGAATGGGGTGTAGGGAGATAAGAATGGGGTGTAGGGACAAGAATGGGGTGTAGGGGACAAGAATGGGGTGTAGGGGGCCAAGAATGGGGTGTAGGGACAAGAATGGGGTGTAGGGGAACAAGAATGGGGTGTAGGCACACAAGAATGGGGTGTAGGGAGATAAGAATGGGGTGTAGGGACAAGAATGGGGTGTAGGGGACAAGAATGGGGTGTAGGGGACAAAAATGGGGTGTAGGGTGACAAGAATGGGGTGTAGGGTGACAAGAATGGGTGTAGGGTGACAAGAATGGGGTGTAGGGGACAAGAATGGGTGTAGGGGACAAGAATGGGTGTAGGGACAAGAATGGGGTGTAGGGACAAGAATGGGGTGTAGGGGACAAGAATGAGGTGTAGGGACAAGAATGGGGTGTAGGGGACAAAAATGGGGTGTAGGATACAAGAATGGGGTGTAGGGTGACAAGAATGGGGTGTAGGGTGACAAGAATGGGGTGTAGGGTGACAAGAATGGGGTGTAGGGGACAAGAATGGGGTGTAGGGGACAAGAATGGGGTGTAGGGGACAAGAATGGGGTGTAGGGGACAAGAATGGGGTGTAGGGACAAGAATGGGGTGTAGGGACAAGAATGGGGTGTAGGGGACAAGAATGGGTGTAGGGGACAAGAATGGGGTGTAGGGGACAAGAATGGGGTGTAGGGTGACAAGAATGGGGTGTAGGGGACAAGAATGGGGTGTAGGGACAAGAATGGGGTGTAGGGGACAAGAATGGGGTGTAGGGACAATAATGGGGTGTAGGGACAAGAATGGGGTGTAGGGGACAAGAATGGGGTGTAGGGGACAAGAATGGGGTGTAGGGGACAAGAATGGAGTGTAGGGGACAAGAATGGGGTGTAGGGTGACAAGAATGGGGTGTAGGGGACAAGAATGGGGTGTAGGGGACAAGAATGGGTGTAGGGGACAAGAATGGGTGTAGGGGACAAGAATGGGGTGTAGGGGACAAGAATGGGGTGTAGGGGGACAAGAATGGGGTGTAGACAAGAATGGGGTGTAGGGGACAAGAATGGGGTGTAGGGACAAGAATGGGGTGTAGGATACAGAATGGGGTGTAGGGGACAAGAATGGGGTGTAGGGGACAAGAATGGGGTGTAGGGGACAAGAATGGGGTGTAGACAAGAATGGGGTGTAGGGGGACAAGAATAGGTGTATAGGAGACAAAAATAGGTGTAGAAAGGCAAGAACTAGGTATAATAAGCCAAGAAATCGCTCTATAGAGCCAAGGAAAAGAGGTGTATAGTGAGCCCAGCTCTACACCCACCTGCCGGGCCGGAACACTGTGTAATCTGTGTAGCGATCTCGTGTAGGGGCGCCTCCCCCGCCCACTCCTTAGAGGAGGGTGTAGCGATATACAGCAACACAGGAAAGGGGGCAACAGACGCCCCCTTTGGGTAGAACTCCACTACCGCGGTGGTATAGCCTCCAAGAGCGACCTCCCTCGTTTGGAGGTAGGTTAGGGCGGCCTCTCCGGTTAGTTCATAGGCTACACCCCACGTGGTGCCCTGGGGGAGAGAGAGAAATTGGTTAATACCCATTTTTATAGCCACCAGGAGGTGGTAATTTAATAATGGGTATATACAGGGGGGTTTATACCAGGCAGGCGGGGACCAAGAGCTGTAGTTCATGCTCTATAAGTGCGGGATATGTCGTGTGTAAACATCATTCGGTCTGGAGTACGAGGATCAGCTGATTACTACTACACTACTACTGAGTTCATTCACAACAGTCCGGAGTTGTTTGTAAACAAAGATCAGCTGATCATCCTATCTGGTTAAGGGATAGGACTAATCTCGCCTGGTAGTCGCTATCACCCATCCACCAACATTCCTAATTACTCAACTACATTCACCACCATCCACCAACATTAACCACCCCCCCACACCCACCCACCCACACCCCCACACACCCACACTCACACACCCAGACACACATACACCCACACCCACCAACATACACCCACCAACATTGATTTGCTAGAGCAAATGTTTGATCGTGTAGTCAAACACACCCACACCCACACACACACACCCACACACCCACAACCCACACCCACCAACCAACATTCATCCACCAACATTGACTTGCTAAAGCAAATGCTCGATCCTGTAGCCAAACACACACCCACCCACACCCCCCCCCCCCACACACACACACCCACACCCCCCCACACAAACCCACCCACACACCCCCACACACACACCCACACCCACACACCCACACCCACACACCACCACACCCACAGGGGCAGGAACAGGGGCGTCACACTATCTCAGCCTATTTATCAAAGCCCGTCGCTCACGGCAGCACCACCAAGCCCTCAGGGGGGGCCGCGTTCTGGTTGAAGTGGGGGAGAGACAGATGGGTAATGGGGAGTGGGAGGGGAGGGGGAGGGATATATGGGAAGGGGGTGGTGGTGGTGGGACGAGGTAATGGGGTAATGGGTCAGAATTGGGAGCCGAGGAGAGGTAAAAACGCCACCAGGACATTAATAATTTGAAGCAACTACACGAATGGTTTCACACCTCGTGCGTGCGTGTGCGTGTACGTGCGTGTGTGTGCACCTAGTTATGCTCACCTAGTCGAGCTCTGGCTCTCTGGTCCCGCCTCTCAACTGTCAATCAACTCGTGTACAGATTCCTGAGCCTACTGGGCTCTGTCATATCTATATTTGAATCTTTGTATGGAGACAGCCTCCACCACACCACGAGAGAGAGAGAGAGAGAGAGAGAGAGAGAGAGAGAGAGAGAGAGAGAGAGAGAGAGAGAGAGAGAGACAGACAGACAGAGACAGAGAGAGACAGACAGACACCGAAAACCTCATCTAAAAGCCAAAAAGCCACACCACTTAAGAAATAAAATCCCCTTTTTGTCTTATCATAACACCTTTTTTGGAGCTGTTAAATACAAAACAGCGACACAGAGGCCTCGACCCTGTACCACTAACCATCACCCAGTCAGCACACTTACGAAACAAACTGAAATTATATACCTCAGGGACTTTTAAAACCTAACTACCTTCAAAACCTTTACCAAACGATATCGCGCAAAAGACCACCTTAATTCGTCGTCCTACCAAGAGGATAGAGGGGATTCGAGCGATAATGGATAGATAGATCCTGTAGGAATAGGGGCAGGGATAGAACTAGAGAAAAAGGGGATAGGGATAGGCAGGAGGCTTAGAGAATACACAAAACATAGACGACCCCAAGAGTTACCTCCAATTTTTTTCCCAATCGCCTG